AATTAAAAATGACCTCCAACAATCATCACAGCTATAATGGCCTTTAAGACACAATAAAAAAACACCCCTAACATCGACCACAGCTGTCCCCTAAAGAGCAAAAACCCACACAACCATTTTGAGTCAGAAATCAGTTTAACGTTATAGATACGACTACATCGGTACACAGACCCCTTAATCAAACCCTGAACCGTAAGTTAGGAATCGGTTGAGTGAAGCTTTGCTGCTAACAGCGTCTCCACTCTCTTGAAAGGTAAAAGGTCATCGCCAGGGTCTGAACAACAGTGACAAGAATAACGTAAGCGCACCGTGGCTCGCCGACAACGCCGGCACGACCTGCAGCGCCATCAAATCTAAAATCTAAAGTTTGGAAGAAGGAAAGTTGGACAAAAGTCTGTCCATTTCTAAGATCTGTCGGACAGTCCAGCAGTAGCACGACAGACCTTAACAGTCACATGGTGATACAGCATGGTGTCTGTGTATGCTAATGCAGCTAGCACAAGCAAAACACAAGATAATAAACACTTTCCAGCCGCAACTGAGCTCCAACTGGGCTGAAAGTCTGTGAAATTTGTCTTTCACTTTTTTCCCATAAAGAGAAATAGCGCTTAAGCACTAAAGCATTGGCACTTTTATAGAACTGGCTTATTTTAATTTAGAATGAAAAATAAATGTCTACATTAAACAAATGTTAAGAACTGTGTCAGATTGCATTGAAATACATTTAATTGTTCCATTTTAAAATGCATTGTCCCTGAATGGTATCGTAGCCCATGTATCTGGATACGAATGTGCACTGGTTGCTTTAAGTTTCACGTCAGGCTCGTAGGCTCCACCCCTTAAAAATCAGATTTCCAATAAGCAAAGAAACTTTCCACTTTCAGCAGATGAATGTAAAAACATCCTTCTAATGTCAAACTGCATATCCAGCAGTCAGCTGCTGACTATCACTCATCACCAGCACAGCCAGGGTTTTAATTATACAGGCCAACAACAGTAAACAGGGATTTAATCCATTCAATAGAACATATTTGGTCCAATCATAGACACAACGGGATACATTTACATATTAAGTTAGAGATGGAATTCAAAAAACAAACATGGTTTTGTTCATCTTCAGTTTCTCCTCATTTAATGACGCATGCATCCTGAAGGGCTGAATGTAATCTGCAAAGCATTTTCTTAAATAAAACCTGCATTGATTATCATTATTATTATCATTACCACCCCCTGCAGCAGCTTGGTGGCTCTACTTAGTTTTTAGTCTTACAGGTACTATACATATATTTGAGTATTTCCAACTCAAAACCCCAACAAGTTCACTAAACTTACACAAAATGACTGGAAAACGTTGCCTCAGTTGTTGTTTTTGTTAGATCTAAGTTACTTTTTTTTTCTTTTCTTTTTTTTTTACAGTGCACAAGAGAAGCTGAAAATGAAAGATTCTTTGGCATTTTTGCTTGAAAAAACAAAACAAAAGAAGGATGCACTGATACTGATACCAGTATCGGGTATCAGATCCAATACTATATTACTTGTAATTGTATTAATGAAAACCCTCCGATACCAGTTTATTCTGGTATCCGTAAATCCCTAAAAATTTATTTATTGCCATCACTTTAGCTCTGTACTAGGGATGGAAATTGGTACAATTTTATTGATACCAATGCCATTATGAATTTTGCTTATTGTTTCAATTCTTTATTGATTCCCCTACTGATTGACTCTGCCAGAGTCGGAACGGAAACTAGGAAAATAGATCACATCACTTCTCTGGCTGCACAATCTTTTAAAGTTATTTTACTTTGTTTATAAAGCTCATCCATAGATCTGAGACTTTCTTTCATTTTATGTTCCAGCCAGATCACTGAAGTCCTCCACCGCTTTTCTTTTAAATGTTCTTTACGTGTCCCATTAGAGCAGCGGTGAGAGTGCCTTTGGTTTCTCACTGCCTCTGGATAATAATGGGCGACCTCTCTCAGTATTATCTAGTGAATCTTTATAATCTGGCTTTTACCTTTACTTTGGAGTGATGTTATTGTCTCCATGGTAAGCATTTTTATACAAACTTTTAGTTTTTTTATTTAATGTTTCACATTTTATTGTTTCTATTGTATCACTGTTTCTACTGTCTTGTATCACTTTGGGCTGCATGTTTGTATGAAAGGTGCTATATAAATAGTTGAGTTGATTCCTAACCAATTTTCAAGACACGTTTAGTAACTGTTTTATTATCTCCGAGCTTGAATACAGAAACAGAGTACAGTTACAGTAGTTTGAGTTTCTTTGTGAAATGAAATGCTTTGGACCGTTTCTTCTTCTCACCACGAGTCCTTCTTGTTGCAAGTTATTAAATTGTAATGCACAGCTGCTGATGAAAGGAACTGATAATACTGGAAACGTATGATTCTGATGGATCAGACAATTTGGAACCGGTTCTTCACTCCCATCCCTACTCTATACTGGACTGCAGAAGTACTGGTACCGTCCTTTAAGCCAGTGGTTCCCAACAAAGAGACCCCTTTTCTATAATTTAGTTAACTGACTAAGCAACATATTTTATGGATATTTCATAGTATATTCAAAACTTTACTATGTCCCCAAATAGAGAACTCAGGAACTGCAAGAAGTTTTCTTTTTTTTTTTTTTTAAATCATACAAACTTCCTTGACAAATTCTGTGTTTCCTTATCCCTGGCGTTTGGCTTTATCTAGACAATTTATTTAACAATTTACTTTACTTTGCATTTACTTTCCTTCAAATAAATGAAACTGCAGAGAAATAGGCCTACTGTGTATATTTTTAATGTTTACTTATGCGCCTTAAAATCAACAAGGCCTGGCGAACCACCATGAAGCTTTGGCAGCCCCTAATGGGGGTCCTCACCCCCAGGTTGGTAACCATTGCTTTAAGATCACAGCAAGAAGCAGCTGTACTATCAGTCCATCCCATTTTGTCCAACACAGCTTCATGTGAAACCTCAAGTGGCTCAAATTACACCGTTTTTCTTCTCAGAAGTCTGAAACCTTTTTGTTTTCAAGTCTGCTGTAAAAGACCCTGCTGCTGAGTTGGCAGAGAGTGCCCCAGAGATCGAAAAAACACTTTCAGTGTTTAATCCGATTACACCCTCACACTACACACAGTGCCTGCACTACAACTGAGGCATGACACCCTCCTCTCCCTGCTGCCTGGAAACATCAACGAGGGTGACTGCAGTGAGGAAACACACGTCCAGCGCTGCTTTTCGGCTCACTGCAGCCGTGTTTTAGTTACACTCTGTACTCGGGTATCTTGGGTGGTGGACGACCTGTGGATGGAGTGGGAGTGGGGGAGGTATCAAGAGTTGTTGAGCAGTGTGACCTTGGTGAGTTTTCGGCACCGGCCGGTGGAATGCTTTTCAACGTGGGTGAAAGCTCGGAGAACAGAAGGGGACGTGCTTAAAGTCCGACTTCTTATTTCTGGTAACGGCAGGACTTCCCTCCGTCCTCCCTTCCACACACGCACACAGACTTTCTGACTCCCCAACAGCTCAGCTATTCGCGTGTGGAAAAGGAATCTGGTATTTACAGTAACAGCCAGATTATTATTACACCATGAGCAGACTCAAGGCTGTGGAGGAGGTTGACAGGCGTACATCCTCACTGGTTTCCTCTGCAGAGCCTGGAGAACAGGAGCAGATAGGGTCGGTTTTGTTGATGTGATAAAATAATCACCAGCGGCGTCGAAAGATTAGAGCGTAAATCCAAATGTCCCTTACAGAAAAACTACAGTAATGCTGTAATAAACTAAAAGTGACTGCAGGAAGTTTATGAAGAAACATGAAACGAAAACACATTACAGTCACTTTTAGAGCTGTGCAGACAAACGTTAACGCTCTGCAGGAATCTAATGGGGATATTAATAAATCTGAATTGACAGATCTGATTGGATTCATTTAGGCCTGCCGTTTTGTGGTTTGCTAACTTTTTCATATCTTGGGTGAACATCAGCTGCGATGATTCAGTGCACAAACTGGCTGCAGTGCAACTGAGCAGAGGCAGTGAGACCTAGGATGATACAGTCATTCTAGTGGGGGCTGCACAGAGTGACCTTATTGCAAACTAGAAACAACAGAAATTGTAAATCCTTTACAAGTGAAATACTGACAGGAAATACTCTTTGACATTTTGTGGAGTAAAGCAACCCTATAAAGATACTGAAATTGAGCACTTTATATCAGCACCAGCCTTTAGAACCCTGGAACATCTCTGTTGTTCCTATACATGCTGCCACTTGACTGGTTTCTCAAGAAAAAAAATTTATACTGGTTGTGTCTGGCTTTATGGCTCACAGGTCTTTTCCTTCTCTGAGACACTGAAGAACATGCAGCCACATACAGAAAGGAGGGGCGGCCAGTCAGTACATATCTAACGTCTCTATTGTCTCTGACTATTCAACCCAAAACTTTGTGACTTTGTCCTTTTTTCTGTCAAAACTGTAATGTTTGCCAAATGTAACATGCGCAGAGATTAGGCTGCGTTTTAATGCAACACGGAAGAAAAACACCTGGATTTTTAACACCTGCAATTCTACGACAGCTGCATTAGCTGAGGATGACTGTGTGGTGCCACTGAAAGCTCGGGAACAGCTACTAAACTGACTTTGCAGTGAGACTGTTCTACTCTGACACAGTCCCCGTATACATTCTACAGACATTGAACCTTTGTACAGAAGGAACTCCTGACAGACTGTCACTAATGATCAGAATCAAGTCTCCAAATGAATTCATGCTGAACTCTAAAAGCCGCAAAGCGCCGCGGAAAGTTGAACAAATGTGAGAAAATCACATTATAATCAGGTGCTTCTCATCAGTGGAATAAAAGAGACTTTCCAGGGCTGCCTTTCAGGACCCGAGCAGAGCAGAGTTGCACCTGTCGGACCGGAGACGCTGCGCAGGTCAAACTTTGCCTCTCCTAAATGGAAAAGTTAGAAATGAAAACATACTGTTTCATGTCACAAACCTGTCACTGTGTTCAGGTGGTGACCAGAGGAAGAGTTCAGCTGCTGCTTGTGGTGTTGGCTTTCAGCGCCTCCGCCGCGGCTGCACAGTCACTGGAGGCAGAAAGAACCGCGACGCGTAAAAGTGAAACTATAAACGGACATCGCGTGTAGCCGGCGCGTTATTCCTCCAAGAACTTCTTCATTCCTGTCGTGTCTTTAATATTTCCCTTCATCCCCTCTCTCCAGTCCTTAAAGTCCACGTTTAAGGTTTGGCCGACTTGGGGACGTCACTGGCCCCGCCTCTTTGGAGAGCTGCCCGGCGGCACTGCGCACAGGAGGAGGGTCCGAAACCTCACTGAAATATGGCGTTAAAAACCAAACAAAGATGAGCTCTATGTTCATTTTTCTTCATTAGACGTCTGTCTAATAATACTGGAAATATATATACATGTTGAGGTCGGACCTCTTTATCTGTGATTTCCTTGCAGCTCAGAGTTAATGATTTAAAGAGATGGAGCGCAGTAAAATGAGGCCAAAAGGGTTCTGCGCACCCAATCCGCATCCAGCAAGACAATTTATGTCCTTATCAAACTGTAAATTGTGAACAGGTGAATAAAAAAACCACATCCATCCTCCTGCTGCGTGTTTGGTTTGGATATGAATCCTTTCAGCACAGCAACATCTGAGACGCTGTAGTAAATTTAGATGAAGAACATTCAGGAACTGATGTTAATAAAGACAATAAAACATGTACGTTATCCGGATCAGCTGTTTTCTGTTTATTTATTTTCTTTCAAGATTATTTTTGGGGGCTTTTATTGCCTTTATTTGATAGCAGCAGCTGTAGAGCCCCACCACAGAAAGGTGGGGAGAGAGAAGGGGGGGAGATGACAGGCAGCAAAGGGTGGCAGGTTGGAATTGAACCCGGGCCATTGTTCTCTGTATATTGTTTCTAAATGACCAGGGCCGGATTAACCCTTAAGGAGATCAGGGGCAGAAATGAGTTGTGGGCCCCCACAGACCCCCTGTTTCTGTGGTTTGTGTATGTATTTGTGCGATATTATTCAGTAAAAAGCAGCATGTGTGCATAAAATACAATAAAAACCCTGGGGCACCCGGATAGCTCGCCCGATAGCGCAGGCGCCCCACATACCCAGGCTGAGTCCTCGCTGCAGCTCGAGTCTGACCTGTAGCCCTTTGTTGTGTCATCCCCCCCCTCTCTCTCCCCCTATTCCTGTCACTCTTCGGCTGTCACTATCAATTAAAAAGAAATAAATAGCCCATAAAAGCTTCACAAAGATGGTAAAAATATTGGTGTTGCAGTTGGTAACCAGACCTGAACGAAAACAAGCACTCAGAGTTGAAAAAATGTAGTTCAAGTTTAAGTTTTTCTATCATTCTCAGCTTGAAAAGCAAGATTGGTTGCTTTCATTCAGGCCCAGTGGATTCTTACAGATGCCATTGGGAGCACTAGGAGGAGCCAGAGGAACCAGATTTGTTCTACTGTCAGGATATAGTAAAAGTTTCAGCAAATTATTTTTTATAAACGTTACCTACTGCTGCTTTAATTATTTTTGTTTATTTTATTCTCTGCTTATGTTTAAATCTCAGTTTAATATTTAATTCTGCATACTTTTATTCTGATACTGATCTGATTAAATGCAGTGGGGTCAGTGTGTATTGGAGCTGTAATGATTAGTCGATTAACTGATTAGTTGTCAACTATTAAATTGATCTCCAACTATTTTGATAAATGTCCAAATTCTCTGATTTCAGCTTCTCAAATGTGAACATGTTCTGGTTCCTTTAGTCCTTTAATGACAGTAAACTGAAAATTTGTGGGTTTTGGACGAAGCAAGAAGTTGGAGGATGTCACAGTTTTTTCCATTTTCTGACATTTTATGGACTAATTGATTAATAGTGAAAATAATTGACAGATACATTTAGAACTTAAATTTAATCGTTATTTGTCCTTGAATCAAATTTTATAATTTAATTCAAATCTCATGCTGACATTGGAAATTCCAGCTTCTTTCTTGGAAAAAAGACTTACTGTTTGAAGCATTTTCCTTTAGTTTTTGTCTTTGTATGACCTTAAATATACTGTGGGGGAAAAAAAACAGCACAGCATGAACATCTGTACAAACTGTTGTAATATAGCAGCCTTGCAACAGAACTGTGTACATTTTTGTGTTGAATGGACTCAGTGCACATCTCTGAGGCTAGTTTGAGGTGTCGTTGTGCTGCATTGCGATTGTTCGTGTTATTCTGTCCACTTCCTACTTCTACCTGCAGACTGAGAGGTGCCATAGTAAAGATATGGTGGCGCGGGGACGTCACTGGAGGCGCAGCCAGAGATGCTGATAACAGTTGTAGGTGTTCGTTGTGGTGACTGATTAGAAATCTGAGCAAATTTTTTAAAAGAGAACTGACACATTAAAAAATATTTACAGTTATACCAGCCTGAAGGACAAATATAAGTTTGAATATCAACTTTTATAAAGAAAATATTTTTTAATTACATGTCACACACATAAGGGGACTCAATTTTCTGTATTAACATTAAAAGGTTAGTAATTGGAATTTGGGAATGTCCAGTAGATTTTTGTCTGGCTTTTAATGACAGGATTTTTTCTTTTTAGAGATCCAGATCATTTGGCTCAGCTCAGCAATAAGAGCAGGCTCTTTCAGCTCCCAAATGATTCATCATTCAGTTACACATTTGCTTTATTTAGTTCAGCCAAATTCAGCAATATTTTGAATCACAAATTTGCATAAATTAATCTTCCAAAAAACTCATTTACATGAACTAAAATTAATGAATGAATTGTTGAAGCAACTCACTAGTTTTGAGTGAACTTAAATGTGCATTTAAATATGATGTGATATTTAATGATCCCCCAAAGTGTAAAGATTAAAACTAGTCATATTAAAAAAAAACACAGAAAATTAATTGGCTATAATTTAATAATCGATTAATTGTAAATTAGTTTTATTGTACATGAGCTGTTTTTTACAGGTAATTTTATAATTTCAACTTTAGTGGAATAAAACTGAGTAAATTCAACTTTGTATAAATTTGTATAAAGAAGATGCATTTAAGTGACTTTATTCAGATAAATTCTCTTCACATATTTTTAAAAGTTTTGAAATGCTGCATATGAGTGTAACTTCAATTAACTGAATGGAATTAGTACAATTAACTTCCAACATCCAAGTTACCTCAAATAATAAATCATGCTTGAGTTACTTCTACTCAAATCAAATATCTTTCATCCTTAAATTGTTTGAGTTATTAGGTTACCAATGTACAACAGTGTCCACAGAGCACTGTTTTGTTTATCATGATTTCCTAATTTTACCTTAGAGACACACACGGCAGGGAATGACAACACCAAAGTACCAACTAATCAATTAAAATTACCATAATTATTTTCATTTTATGCCATTAGTGCTGTTGTTTGACAACCACGGCGGGGATGTGATTAGAATAAACCTTTACAGCTCTGATATATATTCTCTAAACTCCTCTCAGATCACCTACAAGGTCATCCTGCTTTAGTTTGTCCGTCTCTTACAGTGACCTTGTCTCCGTACTCAGATTTCTGGACTTATTCTCTCCATCATCTGAATGCAGCTGAGTTGGTCAGTGGGTTCAGGGTTGTACAGTCACATATTTTACAGCTGAAATGAGATCAGTTGACTGATGTGAATTGCAGAGCTTGTTTGACATTTTTAAAATAGTTTAAGGCCACTAAAGGGCCAAAGAAGGTAAGTCACACTGCTGTCAATGCTGCCCGGTAACAATATAATGGAGGTTTTTGGTAAAACTAGCAATTAATCTTGCCCTCCTTTTGTGCCGAGTTAGCTCAGAAAGTGGCACAGACAAATTCTACTACTGGGGCTCTGTGGCTCGGGAGGTACAGCAGGTCGTCTACTGATCACATGTTTGATCCCCCACCTCCTTCTGTCCACATGTTGAAGCGTCCTTGGGCAAGACACTGAACTCCGGGTTGCTTCCCAGCACAAACCAGTGCATTCCTAATTGCCGATCCAAAGCCTGGTTAAAAGGTAAAAAGCGCCATGCACGGGTTAGCCAACTAGTAGATGATCTGTTGTGGCAACCACCAACGGGAAACTGACAGACCGGACAAAGCCACCATAGTTTCTCCTTTGCACTTGGAAGGGGAGGGTGAAGTGAGGGTGTTGCAATTTGCAACTACAACCACTAAATGTCACTAAATCCCACATACTGATCCTTTAACCAAGTGTTTTAGTTGCTCAACCTTAACCATACGTCAACCATAGCATTCATAAAGGAACCACATATCCGACCTTAGGGAAGGTTTAAGTGTCCCAGTGTCTAAATCAAGAAAAAACAAACAAACAAATAAGTGGTTCTGTGATGTCTTGCTTACAAGCCCTAATAGCAAGTGCTGATATCAACCACATTTAGGCAAATAATGATGTGAATATCACTTTTTCAAATAAAAAGGGATCTAATTGAAATATTGGAAAAAAATCTTGCAGCCACTGCAACTTTGTTTGAGATACTTTAAAAGTGAAGGAAGAGGAAAAAGCTGGAGGAGAGTGCAGCAAAGTGGGAACAAATGGAGTTTTGATAGAATCCAGCTTTGTTTTCTTCTGTATGTTTTTCTCATTTATTCAGTTTTTTTTGAGTCCTTTAGAAAATACAGAATACATGTTCTGATTCATGGATTCTTTCTCTGTCTACTTCAATTATCTTCTGATATTTCTATCAGCCATATTAGTCGCTGACACGCACTGCAGCATGATGTTATTTGATACGAGGCAGCACCAGTGGACTATTTCCTTTCCAAAAAAATCCCTGGTGAAGGGAGGAACTGTGTGTTCCCTCTTGTGTCCTCTCTTCTCCTTTACCCTTTGCTCCAGTAGCACAGAGACCAGCGAGAGTGAGAAAGTTAAATGTGCCCTCCCCCTCACACTGTGTGTGTGTGTGTGTGTGTGTGTGTCACATGTTCGGACAGGCTATCTGCACCGATGTGGAGTCGCTCGGATTCTTTCGATTCCAAATTCTTTGCAAATGCAAGCTGATTCATCCTTTGCCCACATTTTTTCTTCCTCAATCATGTCTGAATTAGTTTCATTGGCCCTCTGTGCTCTGGCTGCTCTGGCAGTAATGATAGACGGGGAGAAGGGGCTGGATTCCCAGCACTTTCATCTGCCTGCTGCCTATTACTCCAGTAATAGAGTGAATATTCAGCTGCACGTACTCCGAGGTGAAGCACAAGTTAAGTCAGAAGG